ATGTATGAAGCAGTAAAATATGTATTTTGACTAAAAAAGTTTTTTTTTCTTGTGAATATAAGCAATTTAATGTGTAGATATTTTTTTTTAAACTTTTGGTTTCGTAGTAGATTCTAATAAATTATTTGTATGTTTCAGTCTTTTATTTTTAAAATATGAAATAATTTTCTTTAAATTTTTAAACCTAAGTCCTAATTTATACTTATATTTACTCGAGATTTTTTTTTAAACAACATATAAATGAAATATGTCATGTCTTGGCTAAAATTTCTAGTTTTATATTTGAAAATATAAATACTTAGCATATTTGAAAAGTAGAACATCTTAATATAGTTGGTCTCATATATATATATATATTCATATATATATGAATATTAATTAAAAGGTGGAAAACTATAGCTTTCAAATTAAGTTTTTTTAAAATTCTAATAAAAGCAAGAAATAAATGATTGACTTTGAATCTATATGTTTAAAAACGTCAATTTTTATTTGGCTATAGAGAAGGACATGATCACCTTCATCAGGAGGTTGAACACTTGAGGTTCCTTAGATAAAAGCTTCATTTTCATTCTTTGAACACAAAAGAGCCTTGAAGCACTATATTTAGACTCATTTGAGAATAAGAAGGGCTTGAAAACATTTCATTGATGATGAATCACAATTTGTAATGTCTGCTGCTAAAACTGTGATATCAAATATAGTGAAATACAAGCAGATCAGCTAAATATCTCTTCTCATAACACTGTATCTTGTATATTTCAAGCATAGCTACTAATTTATTCATAAATTGAAGTTAACAATGTATTTTACTATGCAGCACATTGCAATGTGGAACTGTATAAATATGATGCAATTCTTTTAGATTCTCTCCCATGTTGTAGCATAAGACACTTTATTTATCTTACTGATCAACAGCAGCTGGCATACGAGATAAACAAGTTCTTGCCATTTCTGATATGACATTGGAAGAGTGAACCTCAACATAAAAATAGTCGCCAAACCTGGCTATGAAGTGGTTAGGATGGGAGTCTGGACAGTCACCAAGAGTATAAAAGTGCGTTGCATCGGTACTTCAAAATAACTCGCACAGTAACTGATTGAAATGGATACATCTAAGGCATTCGTTTGAAGTTGTTTGCTGTATGATTTTTAAGTGGGCCTGTCAGCAGCAGAATCAAGTCTCTGTATTTGCCAGGCCTTTGGGTTATGCCGTTAATGAACAAACTGCTAGGCAATGGTTCCAGAAGTTCATTTCTGGGGATATGTCTCTTAGTGATGTACCATGTATCAGTTGGCCACAAGCGCTAGCCATAGAGAATGACAGTAGCCAAACATGTAGTGAGCTTGCTGCACACTTCCAGGTATCTGATGAAACAATCTGACTCCATATGCATCACATGGGAAAGGCATACAAGTTGAGCAAGTGGGTACCCCACACACTGTCCAATACGAAAAAGCAACAGCATGTCACTGCCTGTTTCTCATTGCTTACTCACCACCACAATACATCCATATTTGATCAAGTATTCACTAGCGATGAAAAGTGGGTCCTGTATGTCAGACAATGGTTGTCACCACGGTACCCTGTGTCTCACACTACGAGACCTTCTGTCCACCCCGCAAGATCATGCTGTGTATCTGCTGGACTAGTTGCCAAGTGGTGCACTATGAGCTCCTGCCAGTGGGCCAAACCATCGGGGCAGGCCTGTACTCACAACAATTGGAACGTGTACCATAAAGAGCCAGCATTGGTCAACCGTAAGGGTGTACTCTTCCTCCAAGACAATGTGAGGCCGCATGTGGCTCGGGAGGCCAGGGATACCATCCAGCGACTGGGCTGGGAGACACTACTCCCATCCACCATACTCCCCGGACCTCGTGCCAACAGACTACCACCTTTTCCATTTCCTGGACAATAATCTTCATGGGAAATCCTTCAACAACTGGCCAGACCTCGAAAAGGCCCTCATGGATTTCTATGCGTCCAAGACTCCCAAGTTTTACTGCGATGGCATCGCACCGCTAGCCTCTCGTTGGCAAAAGGTACTGGTTGCCAATGATATTTATTGTGTTTTATGACATTTTCTTTTCTTTGTGACTGTCCAAAATGGCAAGAATGTGTTTTGTTACTTTGCATAATAATTTTTTATTTTCAAGAGTTTTTTTAACAAATGAGATGACATGTGTGAGGTAAGCAGCAGGACCTTAGCTGTCTCCCTAGTATACAGAATGTAGCATTTTTGATTACCTATTTTTAAAATAAAATACTCACAGAGCTAGAGACTATTAAACTCCAGATATTTTATATCATCTTTTTCGTTACATTTGTCCGTTAACATATATTCCACATAGAATTTACAACTGTCCTATATGTGCATTTGCTGCAGTTATTTGGGAAACATTATGTCTGCTTAATAAATACTTTTCGTGAAATTTTTTGAAAATGGGGTGTGGCTGCATTGCCTGGATGGATGATAATGTAAGACTTGTGCATTTCAATGATATTCATTGACCTGCCAGATCTTCCGTCTTAAGTGCTCTGGATTTCTTCCTTCAGGTACAACCAGACTGAAGGAACAAATCAGGAAGAAAATTTGGTGCATAAGCCGGATATCTGAAAACTGCCCCAAATTTCCTTGACTATGTCATGCAAAGTATTCATAATTGTCTTTATTCAGTGCATTGTTAAATGAGGTGGTCATTTGACAGACAAAGTGTTTCTCAAAAAACTGTAACAAATACACATAAAACACAAGAGTAAAGTCTATGTGGCATGCATGTAATTGTACAAGTGTAGCAGAAAATATGGTATAAAATATTGAGGTTCATTGTCACTAGTTCAAGCATATTACTTTCAAAATGGGTAATCGAAAATGCTTCACTCTGTACTTTTAAATTTATATAATTTGGTTTACACATCCCATCACTTCCTGGAACTTGCTTTTAATAAACATGAATATTAATTTCTTTACCCATATTTAAATATCTTACAACATTCAATAGCTTGATGACTACAATACATGTTAATCATTGTTAAGTGAATAACAGGGATAAGCGTTAACAAAATAAGCATATGTGATTCCTTCAAGTAAGAGAGATATTAAAAATAAGTCAATTCAAAAAGATCTACTTCTAGTAAAAAAAAAAAAAAAAAAAAAAAAAAAAAAAAAAAAAAAAATTAGCAAAATAATGCCCTCTTTAGTTTTTATCAATTTTTGATACAAGAAAAAATTGTTTGGAAGATAGATGTGGTCCTTTCCACACCCCTTGCATATGTCACTGCACCTTGAGACTATTATTGCGGTAAAGTGAATTGTTGCTAGATATTCTTTAAACGTTTCAAACAGAAATCAGAGAGTTACAAAAATTAACTCCTTGTGGAATCGTAACTTCAAAATCAGATCTAGTTTCAAGCTGTGTTTAATCTAACTAGTGTTCCAGGTATTATTGCATAGAAGAAAATATGATTAGAGTAGATTTAAGGGTGTCCTTTGGATTATTGCTAAGTTGTTTCATTTATGGTAACCTCAGTAGTTGAATGTTATGGAAACCCTATTATGACATAATTGATTGCGTGAAATTTGAATGATGGGAAAAGGTTTGGAAAGACTCGTTTGTGTGTCAGATTTTTTTGATAAGAAGTACATTATTATTTTGTGGTTTACACAGTAAAATGGCTGAATGTGGTAAGATTAATTTGAAGTTTCTGTACGATTTGGAAAAAAAGAGGAAAAGAGCATTAATTGACTGGTATGTAAAAGTAAGGTTTACTTAGTAGCCATTATAAGTGTCCTGTTTGTAGGAAGGAAATTCGTATGGTCGAATGTCAGAGGATACCTGCACTAAAGAGGATATTATCGACCCTTATTTTTGTGAATTTATGTAGTGTCAGCAGTATACAGATTTTTTTAGGAATTTTACGATGCTATTAAGGAATTTTGTTTGAGTGAAGACACAGAAAATTGTAAATAAGGTAAGTGGATATTTCCTTTGTGTAGTGCTAAGATGATTTTCCCTTTTGATGTTATTTTGTTGTTTGATTTAAAACATAGATGTGAATATAGATCGATGTGTACATGGACAAAGGGAGTACACAATGCCTAGTTTGTGCAATTCTCTGATGTTTTTTAAGAGAAAATAGGTTGATGTGTACATGGATATCGAGTTCGTGCAATTCTTTGATTCGTTATTTTGGATTTGTGCGAAGTGAGATTAAGAATCAGGACTCTCCGCATGTTTTACTCGTATTATGAGGGGGAAAAATTCTTAAAGCATACAAAAAAAAAAAAAAAAAAAAAAAAAAAAAAAAAAAAAATAAAAAAAAAAAAAAAAAAAAAAAAAAAAAAAAAAAAAAAAAAAAAAAAAAAAAAAAAAAAAAAAAAAAAAAAAAAATGGTCTTTAAAAAAAAAATGGTTGGTGGTGGCTTTGATGTCCGGATTTTAGATCATTCCTGATATTCGACGTTCGGATGTCGGACTTTGTACTGCATCATTTATTTTAGATACATTTTTCAAAAATTTACATATTCTTCAATAATACATTAGATTGTCATAAAATTTTGCTTAAAAAATTTAAAGAATTTCACAAATTTGGTATTACTTTCAAATTTTAATCCATTAAATTCAATTTTTAAGAAGTACAACTTTGTTGAAAGCAAATTTTTGCATTTTGTACTTTTGGGCAAAACATGATATTTCCAAAGAAGTTCAACACTTTATTTCATCAGCCAGCAATCTCTAATCTCATTACGATTCCATATAAAGAAAAAATATGCATTTGATACAAAAACAAATGCTAATCAGAAAAGTGGCATTTGAATTTGAAGATATGGACCAAATAGAAAATGTCAGAAAAAAGGCTGTCAAATTTGAAGGTAATCTAGGTACGTGCGCATACCTGGATTGCCGCATAGATACATTTAATAAAAAATGTATACTGCAATTTTTTACTTTGAGAAAAAATATATCCTTAATAGTACTTATTTATGTTTTTATTTGCAGCATGGTCTCTTTACTTGCATTCATAAGCATTATATTTTAGATGAGTGGAAAAAGTTTGCTGCAGAAAATCCTACTGCTTTGAAAGTAAGAACTTGTTTTGTTTTCAGAATAAACTATAAAAAGGAATTTTTAAAATTTGATTAATTTTCTTCATGTATTTTAGAATGTAGCTGTAAGTATTGGAACAGCTCAAGGTGATTTTGAAGCACTTTGTGCTATAATAAAAGAAGTTCCTGACTTGGAATACATTTGCTTAGATGTTGCCAATGGATATTCAGAGCATTTTGTAGCTTTGGTGAAACAAGTGAGAGCTGCATATCCATCCCATACAATAATGGTATTTTTTTTCTTTATTAAGTGTCTTGAGCAAATATTGCCTATTTGCAATAATTATGTATTATTGGATTTTGTTTGTTTAGAACATTGACATGAAAATCCTGAAAAATAAACTTTAGTTAAGTTCTCCAACTGCTTCTAAAGCATATGCAGGAATGTAACCATCTCAATAATATAATTGCTTTCAAAAGATATTTTCTGTATAATAATATAAATGTTAATTTTAAGGCTTATAATCCTATATTTATGATTATATTCTGTTTGTTTTTATATGCTATTTAGCTCATTATTTAAGATAGCAAAAATTGTCTTTTGAATTACTAACTGTTAATACAATTATTTCTAAAATTTGGTTTTAAAAATTTCCCGTAAATGTTAAAAATAGTTATATAAATCGCCAGTGTATTATATATTTTGGTACCATTTTGTTTTGAGGACCGTAAAAATCGCCAAACTATTGTTGATGTCAGTGCTGCCAAAAATAATTGTGGCAACTCTAATGCATAACAGGAAGTATAATAGTAAATAACTATCTAAGATTTTATTGTTTTAATTTAGATGAAAGGCTAATTTCCTATAATACTTTTTATTATTATAATTTATATAAAAAAAGCTAAACATAACCGAATAGAAGCATAAGAGTAAATAACTATTTCAGATCATTATTAGAATTTATACAAAAAAAAGGCAAACATAACTGAATGGATTCCTGCATCGCTATTTCACTACTGAGTTATCGCTAAAGCATAATTTCATCTCGTTGGTTGTTCAAATATAATTTTCTATAATGAATGATGCCTTTTCTTTGAAAACAATCTATTGCAGACTTTTTGTCATGGGCAATTCCCAAATTGTTAAAACCATAGGATATCAAAAAAGGATTTAAAATCAAAAAAAGGATTATAAATTAAACTAGTATTTCAATGGCGTCTTAAGAAGTATAAAACTATCTAAACTTACAACACAATTTGAAATCAGTGCATACACTAAATTTGGCACGCTGTTAAATGGACACATTTGCTAGATTTGGCACTTTTGCGCATACATTTTCGCTGCAATTTTTTTATGGTCCTTAAAACGGAATAGTACCTATATTTTTACTTTAAAGTCAGGTAATTTTATAAATTTAAATCTTATTTGTGAAAATATTTATAAAACACAAACAAAACAGTTTGTAAAGACCCATTAATTTAATTCTTAATTTTTGTACAGCACAATGAAGGTTATTAACCCTCTCAGCGTTACGGCCGGAAAATTCCATACAGAGGTTGCCTTCCACATTCATTATACATGAAAATTTCTGCAGCTTTTAATGTTCTGATTTCAGTTTGGATGTATATTGGAGAAAAGGAATAGGTACAAAATGAAAGAGTCGATTTTTAATTAAAATCAAGAAAATATCACTTATTCATGACATTTTGAGGAATTTTGAAATTTCAGGGCTAAACCCGTAACGCTCAGAGGATTAAAAGGTTTTTGATTAAGAAATAAACTGCATACTTGTGTATGCTCATCAAACTGTAAATCACAAATATCATTTGCTGATTCAGCTTCAATGGTACATACTCAGAATATCAAAAGGCTACGAGGCAGTATGAAGTAGCATAATAAGAAACAGCGAGATCCTGCAAAGCACAGGTTCTATGATATCAATACTTGAAAGAAGAAATTCCTTTTAATGTAATTATGTTGTCAATGGGATTGTTTTTCTTTTGAAAACAGTAATTTTAGAAACTATTTTATGGTATTTTGTTTGCAGTGATGCATTTAGGTGATATAGCAAAAATGCAAACAGCCTTATAGCTACAGCTTCAAAATGCATAAAGCTGACAGTATATTGCCATTTTGTTTTAAATTTGTGTATGTATTACTTTAATTCATTATTTAATAATATTTGAATTGGTTCATACTTGAAATAACATTATTAATTGTATTATTGATCCATTATACAATAAAAGCTTAGCTATCTAGTATTCAACTAACTGAAAAACTGAAGTAACTGAAATATCTAAAAAAAAATTTAACAAAATTATACAAATGAGAAAGTTATAAAAGCATCATAAATCATATATAGGACTGCTACTTGGAATCCTGCTTTTAATATCTAAAATATGTGCATAATTACATGGCTTTTTTTTAAAATATGTTTTTTATGCCTTCCCCCACCATTATATCTATTATATTATTCCAATAATTTGACCTTGGAACAGAGCATTCCTCGTAGACGTCATTGAATAATTTTTGACCAGCAAAAACTGGCACTGGTTTAGTACCAATAATGAGTAAGCTTAACATCGTTATCAATTGTAAGATCTCCACTATAATTTTGTGATATAAAACCTGATTATTTCTCAGTAAGCCAGCTTATTGTTTGTACTGTTCTGTGGAACCGCATACAATGGAGTATTTTCAAATTTCAAGTATTCTCGCCTCAATAAAAGTTGCATTAATAGCCACAATATGGGATTTTATTTGACAATGAATAAACAATGGGGATGCAGTGTGAAAAGTAATGATAAGTGATTTTGGTTTTATATGTTATATCCATAACTATTATCTGTTTATTATATAATTAGAAAGCAATCTGTTCCATCATACTTCTGCCAGTGTAGCTGATACATGTTGGTAGATCTCTGCAAGTTTTCATCATTGACAGGGTTTCACAATTCGTTAAGACGTTTTACTTCTAAACTTTTTTAATGCGTGCATACAAAAATATGCCAGCTTTTATGTCAGAAATGCAATTAAAAAAAAGTCTTAATGCAAAGTCACTACTCTATTTTTGGTCAAAATGAGTGTTCATGATCAGTATGTGAGAATATAACATGAAAAGATGCTAATTTTAGTGTTATAATTTCATATCCATCTCATAAATACCAGGTTTAAAATACCAAACTCGGAAATATCAGGTTTAACACAAAAAGATTACTGTAGTACTTAAGTTAACAGAAATTAATAGTTATAGTTAACTATTAAGCGAATTGTTAATTTCATATCTGTTTCACTAATGTTAACTATTCAACAGTTTTCATGGTACTTTTCTGTTAACAGGGCATCACTTAGCACCAGACATAAATGGTGATGTAAAATATATCTAGATAATAGCAGTTTTAATAAGTAAAGCTTCATGAAAGGAATAATTATTTTATAAATAATGAATATAATTTGTACAATGCTTAATATGCACAATGCCAAATTTGTGAAGTTCTCTGATCTTTTCTAAGCAAAAATAAGCAAGTTTTAAGGGAATCTGTTTGTGGTTCAAAAAACATTGCTGTGTACATGGGAAGAACATAACTGTTGTTCTTTATATACACTGACTACCAATAAGTATTTGGACACGTATGCAAATGACGATATCTGCGGTCCCAAGGTACGCCACGGACTCTGCCGGCATATATCGTGTAGGAAACAGCATCGGCTTTAGTCGCATGCAAGATACCTCGCAGTTCGGAGCTCTCTGATTTCGAGAAAGGTATAATTATCGAGTATCACAAATGTGGCCGATCCTTAAGGGACATATCTAGCGATCTGAAGTACCCAATATCGACAGTGGCCTATGTGATTAAGAAGTGGAAGGTGAGTGGTGATTGTTGGAATGTGTCCCGAGTCGGCAGACCAACGAAACTGGGGGATAGAGACTGACGAGTGCTGTTCAGAGAAATTCGGAAGAACCACACCCAACCGATAGCCCTCATCTGCGAGGAGTTTCAACAGGCATCCGGGAGTATTATTTCAATGAATACCATCCGTAAGGAAGCACATCTGCTTGGTTTTCATGCGTCGCTGCTGCTGCCCATAAGCCTTTGATCACAAGTCCAACCGCGCTGCTCGGTTAATGTGGTGCAAAGCACATTGAATTGGACCGTAGATCAGTGGAAACGGGTTCTTTGGAGTGACGAATCAAGGTTCACCCTTTACAGTTCGGATGGCAGGGTCTGGGTCGGCTGGCGTCTACCTGGAGAACGTCTCCTGCCAGAATCATTGTGCCAACAGTCAAGTTCAGCAGAGGTGGAATTATGGTCTGGTGGTGTTTCTCTTGGTATGGGCTGGGACCCTTGGTCCCCATTCATGGTGAGCTCAACTCCGATGCCTACTGCAATATTTTGGATGACAATGTGCTTCCTACGTTGTGGCAGTTTTACGGGTTGGACCCCTGTTACTTTCAGGACGACAATGCCAGTTGTCATGTTTCGATGTTAACCAAGGCTTGGTATAGTGCCAATGGAGTTCATCGAATGGACTGGCCTGCCCAGAGTCCAGACCTGAACCCTATTGAGATCCTCTGGGACGATTTGCATCGCCGAATTCAGGGGTTCACTACCCTTGCAAAATCGGTGAAGGAACTTCTATGTCTTCTCCAAGCTGAGGGGAAGAAAATACCACTAGCTGTCATACAAAGACTTGTGGAAAGTATGCCTCAGAGGGTCCACGTTGTAAATACCTCTCGTGGAGGCTCTACCAACTATTGATTTTGAATAAAGTTAGTTTTTCTTTTCTATCACAAGTGTCCAAATACTTATTGGTAGTCAGTGTATATATATAGTGCTTTTTGCTAAAAGAAGTATCGGGGAATTGCCTAAATTTGTTGCTGTGCACAAATTCAGCATCATGCATAACTTCAGCTTTGCACACATTAAACATTATGTGTGTTATTGCACAGCTGCATATGACATGATATAAATAAGCTATCACATTTGGCAACTGCCAACAGAAAAGTATCGTTTTCTTAAATTTAGTTTATACTTGATGGCATTTTAAATGTAGAAAAATATAAAATATTTTGCTTATGTAAACTTATTTATATAATACATTTTAAAATGCCAGTGGCCAGTGTTAATGAAATTTTCTTTAATAATTTTACAGGCTGGTAATGTTGTAACAGGAGAAATGGTTGAAGAATTGATTCTCTCTGGAGCAGATGTAATAAAAGTGGGAATAGGTCCAGGTTCTGTGTGTACAACTAGGAAAAAGACTGGCGTTGGTTACCCGCAACTCAGTGCTGTTTTAGAATGTGCTGATGCCGCTCATGGTTTAGGTGGTCATATTATATCTGTGAGTGTTTTCTTTTTAATTTTGGGTGGGGGGGAGATCCTTTAAATTTACTTTTGTGCATACTTAACTTTTAAATGCTGATAACTTAATTTTAGCCATGTTTTCTATTTTATTTTAATAATTTCAAGTTTTGAGCTCTTTTCCCTCTGAATATTTTAATAAGTGACATTTATAAAAATAACTTAGGTTTCTTATTAGAAGCTAAACGTTAAATAAATTCTTATGTGTAAATTGAGAAAAATATTTTTTAAAAATTTTGTAATTGATTTGTTACCTAGAGGGCATACTGCACAATTTTATCATGGCCATGTGCATAATTGATTTTATTCATATCTATATTTGTATATCTTTGATTAATTATAAACCTTAATTGATATATATTATAAAAAGATTAGGTACTTTTCCATTTTGCCGGCGCAAGCGATAAAGTCGCCAATAATGGTACAGCCTATGCCAAACAAAATATTCTCGCTGGTAACCTTTTACGCCTCATTTTCAAAACAAGTCGCAGCTTTTTCTTATCAGATTGATTGTTTCTTTCAATACTGGGCATATAATTACATAGATTTTTATCAGATAGTTCAGTTTTTATGTCTAAGAGGCCATTTTTTCGGTAATTAAGTCAATTAGGATGCAATCACAGCACTTACCCGAAGCCGAAAATATAGAAAAGGAAAGTCAAGGGTTAAATTCATCAATTCTAATGAGAATGCATTAGTGACGTAAAGCACTGCAGTTTTACATAACTTCTGAGTAAGCTATTCGTACGCATTGAATATTTTCTTGCATTTAAACTTGTGTTCCAAATTAAGATTTAACTTGAAATTAATGTAGATAATTACTGAGAGCATTAGATTTTTGTAGAGTAGTTTACGTGAGATGAGATCGCTTGGGGTCACGTGATATGAACCGGCGAATTAGGATGTTGAACCATGAAAGCAAATTCTTAAATTGATGTCTTTTTACAAATTTACTGTCTTTATTTATTGGCTTTTTATAAAGTTTTAAGCGATATTAAAATGTTTATGCCTTCAAAATAAAAAATTCTTAGAAGTAACATTTTTTTTAATATTGTTTATGTATACAGTGTATGTTGTCGCCAATAAAGTCTGCTTGGCGAGATTTGCGCCGGCGAAACGGAAAAGTACCAAAGATTATTAGTAATTGATACATATTAGTATTTTGAACTATGTATCTACTAATTTCTTAATTGATATATAATAAAGAAAGTATAAGCAAAATTCCAATGAATTTTCAATATCATTTTCACTCGTTTTTGAGAATATCTTTTTTCCCAAATTCTTCCTTTTTATGAAATGTCAAATAAAAAAGAATTTATAATCTTGATTTTGCCCCATTAATCATTATTTTAAAAAATCAGTTCACTATTTTTATTTCAATGTATTGTTTATTGCCACTATTTTATCATCTTTTGGCTTTTATTTAGTCCAGTATTTTTCTAAATTAGCGTGAATGCACATCAGTATTATGTAGAAATATTAATAATTTTATTTTCTCACTGTATTTCACCTCCATATAAATAAACTTTTTTCATTTTTAATTCTTTCAAATTTAATTGCTGTAATTTATTTTGTTGCAGCTGTTATAGTTAAAATAGTTATAATTTTGCTGATATCTAAGAGCTTCAATGCAAAAATAAAATATTTAAAAGTTACTCGATAAATAATTGTTAAATATTTTTAAAGAGTTTTATTTCTGCTTGACATTTTTTAGTTGTATAATGCCACAGGTATTAGTAAAAAAGAATTATCTTATTTAGAGAAAGAAGTAAACAAGAACTATTGTAGTGTATAACTCAGAATATCTGGTAAATTTACAGTATGCTCACTGTGATATAGTAGTTATATATTTTTATAGTTTTCTCCATGTTTAATATGAATACAAGTTAGTTTTCTGCAGTAATTCCTCTATAAAAGCATGCCTTTGCTTAAAGATATATCCCTTGCCATAATTAGATAAACAGTCTTACATGGAGATGAAACATACAGAAAATTAGAAAATGGTAAAGAAGATTAAATGAACTAAGAAGCTATTAAATTTATTAAACCTGGAGATGTGGCACAACAGCTACAAGAAAATTGCATTTCCTCAGAGAAGAAAACTTCTTATGCCAATGAGAAATTAAAGACTATGCAAATAAGTGTAAACAATTTCAAATTAACCAATGTAAGAAAAATAAAGCTGTAAATGATTGTGGAAGATGCAATAAATATGTATGTGAGCCTCATATAAGAAGAATTACTAAATTAAACATTTGTGTAAATTACTAAAACAAATACTGTAAATAATTTATTTCATTTTTAATATCTATATACTTGCACTTTATTAAAAAATAAGAGACAATATTTTACTCTATAAAATATAGACTAAAAAATTGGGTACAGCACAAAAAATTAATATTAATGATTTATATTACAAAAGAGCAATTGTTGCCATGCAATTCAGGAATATAAAAATAAATAATTTTTTTTAATATTGTTACATGGACCTAATGTAAATTAAAAAAGCTAAATTATAACATATTTTATTAAAAAAATGTTCAAAACAATGCTAGATTTTTTCCATTAATTAAGTTGTGGTCCAAATAACCACATACTGCAGTTATATGTAAATTGAAAATACTGTAATGCTAGTGTTAAGTATAATATAAAACACCTGCACATTTTTACTGAAAGGTCGTAAATTGATTTCAAAGTAAATATGATTTTGTTATATTTTATTAACACTATAAGAAATGAAGATTTATTTTTCTATGGTAAGAAATGTATACTGCGCTAACAACAACAACAAAAAAGGGACAGTTCTATATCTCTCGCTCTATTGGGTCGATTGACGAAATTTAAATTGCGTTTTTAATGTCTCGAAAATGCGACTTAGGATATATATTAGATTTATATCTAGCATTGTTCTAAGCTAAGTATTTTGTCACAAAATCAGACTTTTTCTGAAATGACTTGCCATTTGTTTTTCCATATTTCGATTCTATGACTCAAATTATGCATAAATATTAAATTTTGTAAAATTCGGTGCGAAATTTACGGAGAAGTTAAAAAATTTATCTTGCCGCAATTTTTCCAGGTTGTGCCACGAAAAATTCACTTGCCGAACTTCTTAATTTATAGCAACCAATTTTCCTTTCCTTTTTTCATTGTAAAAAAGTGGAAAAAATCATTTTTCATTATTTCAAATAATTTTAACAAAGTGCATAAACCACATTTGGCATTATTATCGCTTATAAGGAATATGCCAAATTTCAAAATGCGCCAATATGTAAATTTATGTATATTCTAGGAAGTTTTGAATAAGAAAACTCTAATTTGTTGCAGGTATGTTTAGAAATACATCTACTTACCTCGTCCTAAAACAAAATTAGAACAGTTGCGTAACTATACTACTATTCATGTTAACGTGGAGCTTCCTAAGATGGTGAAAAAATTTTATAGATTATTATAATTCAAAATTTTTTCCTTAAAATTTGTAAAAATTATTTTAAAATACAAATTTTTAAAAATAAATCGGAAAATATGGGCGAAATATTTGAAATAAACCTAAATTTTGAATTCTGGAAGAAGGAATCAAGCAAATTTAATAAAAAAAGAGATATTAATAAATATATGTCAAAGTCAATTAACATTAAGGAGCTAAAATTTTGAGATCTAATTTTTTAAAAACTACTTATACGTTTTTTACAAAACATGGCAGTTTGGCATAATTTGAGTTGTAGAATCGAAATATGGAAAAAAAATGGTATGTTATTTCAGAAAAGTCTGATTTTGTGTAAAAATGCCTATTGTTATGGATTTTGTATTTATTTAGCTATTTTTAGTAGAATTAATTAAAATTGTTGTATATCCTCATGCAATGCACCACGAAACTTATTTGAAGAGAAAGCTACGTCAGAAAAGTTAAAATTCAGGAGCATGCACATTTAATATATAGATATTTCGTAATTGCTTTTGCTTTCCAGAAAAATTAAGAAAATACCAGAATGTTCTCATGCAGGATTCTAAAAGCTGAAGAAAAACATCTCAATTCAGTTGTTTACTTAGTGCTGTTATTGATTGTAGTGAATTTGTGGTGAGATCAGATTAGCTTTCTCAGTGTTTTGAATTGAGTTCTTTCAACGTTTTAGTAGTTTAAAATACAACTACTGTGAGATATTGCGATATTGTATGATGTCTCTGAGGAAATTCAGCATTTTGTTTTATTTGTTGTTATAATAAATTTTATTCACTTTCATCAGACTTGTGCATCCAATTTGTTACAAACCTGTACATGTGCAACACTATTTTAGAACAATTCCATATATAAATCTAATATATATCCTGAGTTGCGCTTTTGAGTAATGAAAAACACAAGTTGAATTTCGTCAATCGGACCAGTAGCACGGGAGATATGGAACTGTTCCCCCCCTTTTTTTTGCGCGGTGTACATCTCTTTATCGCAGAAAAATAAATCTTCATTTTTTATAGTGTTAATAAAATATAAGAAAATCATGTTATTTACTTAATGAAATTAATTTATAGCCTTTCAGTAAAAATGTGCAGGTGTTTTATACCATGCTTAACACTAGGATTACAGTATTTTCAATTTACATATAACTGCAGTATGTGGTTATTTGGACCACAACTTAATTAATGGAAAAAATCTAGCAATGTTATGATATTTTTTTAAATAAAATATGTTATAATTTAGCTTTTTTAATTTATATTTGTTCCATGTAAAAAATATTAAAAACAATTAAATTTATTTTTTATCTTACTGCAATGTAGTCTCTTTATAAATGATTTATCAATATCATAGATAAATCAATATTAGAAAATACGTGTACTGGCTAGTATCAGGTTGAAGATTTAATGGAATATTTTTGAACCATTTGATCCAAGATATCAATTCCATATTTAGTTGTGTTCTAAAAACTCCCAACTGTGGGTATTTTCTAGTTTGATGCAATTTTCAGACTTGGATGAAATAAATTCATAAGAAGGTATTTTTGTTCTTTTTCTCTGATATGACTTATCATGCTTCACAACTTTACACAAATATAATTGATCATTCATATTCTTGAACAAAAAGTGACATCTTTTTTTTTAATATAATTTTTTTTATTATATATACTATAAAGTTGTTGTCTGTGTTATAAAAGAGCTCAATCAACTGATAAAAAGCATGCTTCCCAACAGTTCCATCATCTGTTGTTCTTTCATCTTTTAATAAATAAGGATATTAAGGATATCCATTTACTTTGTTTTTGCAGCAACTAAAAATCAAAATTTTGTACAGAATCTTTCAGCATATATTGAACAAAGAGGCACCTTGCTTTTAAACAGTTATTTGTAAATTGCAATGTTTGCACTTGATTTGTAACACAGTAAGCAGCTCACAATAAAGGCATTCGATGTCCAAAACAAGAGCAAATGGATCAGTTAGTACCCTTTGCAGTCTTGATCTTAAGTGGGCATATTTTATTATCCCCAAGAATCTATCCTTAGGCAGTGTTTTATTGAAGAATTTTGGCCCCCAAGATTTGAACCATGGACTAATAACAGAAAGTCCTTTGATAGCCAAAACACCATTAGCATTTAATATAGCAATCAAAGTATCTAGCTAAACAAGTTGCAAGTTCAATTTAGGTTTCAGTAACTTTTGATAGGCCTCAGCTTCTGTGCATTGCTGTATATGATGCTATACTTTTTTAGTGATTTATAAAAGTCTCCATGACCTACTTGTGTTTCCATCAATTACTTTTCCTTTAGCAAAAGTAGTTGGCCCACCCGTTTCTCAAAGCTCGTTGAAGAGGAAGTCTTCCAACTGAATTTGGTGAAATAATTTGCTTTTTCCACACTTTACCATAATTTGCTATATCTTTTTCTTTCGAATGATAATCTTCATTTTCAAAACATCTAATTCCTTGTTTTCTTAGTGGATATGACTTGTTTCACACCTTTGTCGTCTTTTTGAACCACAGGCTACTTCCTCATCATCCTCAATTAAATTCTCATTCAAAGCTAAATCCTTGACCTCTGCAACTTTCTTTTATTAGAATTTTATTTTTGGAATCTGTTCAGTATGGGACATGAAGAAATGTCTTGTTCTTCTTTGAAACCAGATGGTGGAATGTTTTGGCATTTTTCTTTTGATAGAATAATGGAAATGTCATTTGCTGAATCTTGTTCTTTTATTATAGTTGGAATAATTTAATTTTCATTGAATAAAATAAAGGGAATTTCCCTATTTAATTAGTCATGAAAGCTAATTTCCGAAGCAGAATTGTCATCAGATAATTCTTGTAACTCTTTTACCATTTCTGTTGATAGATATTTTCTTCCAACAGCTCTGTGTGAAATGTTTGATACAGAAAAATTTGCACATTAGAAAAAAGTGGTCAAAAGTCTCAAACAGTTACACACAGAATAAGTTTCAAGAACTTACTAAAATTATCCGATAGGTATTAAATATGAAACCTGTTTGGGAAATTACACCTTTTGGAAAGGGAAGCCTCACTTCGATTCCAACCAGTTGCCAAATAACATCTGGCATTAAAAAAAAGGGTGCTGTCAAGATTCTGATATACCAAGTTATTTTAGCTTTCTGTTAAACAGGGAAGAATAGTCAAAATGACAGCTAGCCATAATTATGGGTATATACAGTTATATTTGAAAAAATAATCATTTAAAACAGCCCAAGTAAACTATTCTGGCAATCTTGGTGTATATCTAAAAAAGTAAAAAATATCTATGTTTTTTTTTTTTTTTTTTTAATTTTAATAAATAATGGATAATTTCTGTATTTTTCTTCATAACCAATGAATAACTAAATTTTGTCAAACGTATGTTAAATCTGATTTTTATTGTGTGGCATTGGATTTAAAATGTAAATAAAAGTTCTGTTCATGTGAAGATGGCATGACAAAATATTAACAGCAGAACTATAGAGAAGTTATAACTGAAGTATAAAGCTTTCTAAACATTAACTTTAATAGCGATAATGAATGAATTAAATAGAAATGAAAGATTTTTCATGTCAAATAAACTTTATCAGTTTTTATACTGAATTATATAGAACTAGCAATGTATAATTAATCTGAT